ATAGAAATGTTCAGAATTTGTACATTATTATTTTAATACATTTACCTGTTTAATTCCAGAGATTCTTTTTTTATAGGGCATTCCAATCAAATGATGCTTTTATCATTCATTTGAAATGACAATTTTATCATTTTAATTAAATGATTCTTTTATTGTTCATTTGGAATGATAATTTTTTCATTTCAATTGAATAATTCTTTTACCATTTTTTAGAATAATGATTTATTATTCCAATTAAATGATGCTTTATCATTCTTTTGGAATAATAATTTATCATTCTAATCAAACAATTCTTTTGCTATATTTTTAGAATGATAATTTATTATTCCAATTGAATGATGCTTTGGAATTACATTCAATTGTAACAATACGATCTTTATAAACAAATAGTTAATAACTTTGGCAAACTATTAATTCAAAAAAAAATTGCAAAATCGGGTTTCAAATGTTTGAGAATGTTATATCACCCCCAATTTTTATGTTATCTATATGTATTCTAGAATATCTTATAACATTCCAAAACGTTTCTTGGACAGAAATCTCACTAGCTACGAAATATAAGGACGGTCTAAAGTCATTATAAATAAATAAATTATCTATTTAAAAAGTTCTTTTAATTTATTGAATAAAGATGAGAGAAAAATGCTTATTATCATATGACGAATCACTAAACTAGATTTTTTCATTTGTGTAGCACGTGATCCGTTATCTCTAATTTATTTTGAACCGAAAGAAAAAAATGTCAATACTTTCTTTGAAACTTAGTATTAACCATGCCATGAAAATAATATATTAAATTTAAATACAGCATATATATAATCTACAATAGTTTCCTAACGAAAAGACATTTTGAAAGTGATTTGGGCTTAAATTTCTTCAGTATATTATTTCTCTTGTCAAATTTTGACATACAAAGCTTAATCATTATTCTAGAAATATCTAAGTAATTAAGTGAAATGACGAGTGAAAAAATAAGGAAGAAATTTGCCTGTCTTTCGTTGTTATTTTTTTTTTTAAGTAATTATTTCAATAGGCAACTTGGCATGCGCTTGAAATATCACAAGCATTACCGAACAGGCCTACCCACCATGTATTCTGATTGCTTAGCAAGCCTAGAACGAACAAAAGACATGCTATTATAACACCACAAATGAAGAAAATGGCATGAAATAAACCATTTCCATTTACGCTTTTTTCTCCTTTCAAGTGGCTCAAAAGTGCCAAGATACTGTTGAATGACCATATTGAACACAAAGCTGAGAGATATTTACTACGACAATAAAATCCGATTGGAGGTGTGAAGTAGGCTAAGAGCACTGTTATCCAAGGTACTACTATTGACACTAAAGCAGCGAAAGTGACGCGGGCGTAATGGTCATTCTTATTATGTTCGGCGAGTTTGTTGATGGTTTCCTAATATGTTATTCGGATCGAAAGCAACTAGATTATTTCGAATTGTTTTCCTATAGATTGCAGGTAATGTCCGAGACAATGCTAATGGTATACATGGCCAATCCTCATCACAGATAGTCGGTCCGACCACCCTGGATATTCCAGAAACTATACCGATTAATATATAGTATAACGATGCCAACGACGATAACCTCTCTAGCACGGATGCCTTGGCGACACATGCTTTCATAAGTACTGACTGTTCAATGTTCATGGCGTGTACTCCGAAGGGTCTGTATGGGATTTCTGTTATCAAGTTATCATTATCACTTCTAATAAAACGATCAGAAGAGAGCCAATAAACGCACAATGTTGTCTCATCACTCTTTACGCAGCAGGTGTAAAATAATCCTGTGAATGGACAACCTAGACATCGAATATACCATATTAACTTTTCCATGAAATCAACCCATGGCGCGACCCAATTGTTGCTATAGCTGGTAAGCATCCTAATACATATTGAGGCACAGGATCTTGTAATTTACGTATGATTTTTAGCATATACAAACACTCTGTTTCCATTTTCAAAGCTATTGTTATCAAGACTTTAATAAATGAAAAAAAGTCTAGAAAATTAAATTGCAAGTTAATATATATATCGAATTCTTTCACATTTATCTTGAGAAAAAAGCATCTCAGTGAAACTAAGATGAATTAATATAGACAACAAGTTTAGCGATTATTGGTGAATAACTTTATTTATATTACAATTAAATGAAATTACAAATCTGGTGAACAGTGAAAGAATTCTTTATAAATTATAAATCTATGAATTGAGACAGAATAAGTCCATATTTAGAAATCCGAGTGATGACACAAATTTAATGCCAGCCAGGCTTGTAATACCATGCTTATGCCGGCCCGGTCCTGCCCGAAAAATTAATTGTGAACGTCCCGTAATTCTTTCATATTCGACAAGTTTAAAAAAGCATAAAAAAATTAATTAAAAATAAATTAGTAATGTTAACTAAAAATAATTACATTTTTGGAAAAGAAATATTATAATGAACATAAATACATTTAACTATCATAAGCATGCCGTCAAAATCAATAAGATTATTTTATTTCGAATTTTATAATTTATATTATGTAAACTAACAGTTGCAATCCGACGACTAAATTATTTTAACATTAAATCTTTAAATCGAGTTTATTCATAAACAAGTAACATATACAAGCTAATTTGCGTGGATCCGTTGTAAAACATTTGACATATACATAAAAGGAAATGATTTTGTTTGATAATCATTTTATTGGAAACTTCCATTTTAGAAATTTAAATTTCCTTCCAAATGTGTTTCCAATCTTCCAAGTGCTATAATGACTGTATAACGGATTGCATATTAATATTTCAGATCAATAACCTAAACATGACGCAACTTATGATTCCTATTAATAAAAAAAGACAAAAAAGATTATCCACTGTCTTTATCAATCAATATACGTACGTAATGTTAGAAACTGTATTTCAAAAAATAATCTGCTTAGTTTTTTTCGGTTTAAAAGAAACTCACATAGCTTAATCTAAAAATTATGCAAAACTTGTATAATTTTATGCAAAAAATGTACATGACGTATGTTTTTAAAAAAATTTCTGAATCACATGATCACGACTGCTGCGCTGAGATACGCATTATGCTTTTCTTTTTTTTCTTGATCGCTTCGGGTTTCGTCGAATAATCGGTAGGCGTTTATTACTTTTTAAAGTTCAACTGAATTATAATAGGTAGGCCTGTTCTCTTACAAAAATTTTAAATAAGTATCGTTGAATCTAGCAACTAGGCATTGTAACTGTTAATAAAGTAACAATCGAAGCAAAAAGTTTGACAGTTTTATTGATCATTCATTTATCATGTACAAATAAAAGTACTTAAGTTATAACAAAGGTACCAAAGTTTTCCTATTTCATCCGACATATTTTACGTCTTACATCAAGTTTTATTAAACCCTTCACCTAAAAACTTCCTATACTTTATAAAAATTTAGCAAACATATATTAGTTGTCTAATTTTACATGGTTAATTTCCTTCTTAGCCTTTTTTTACCACTTCTGGAATTGTTGTATTCAGTTTTTTCGTTTATGTATTTATAAACTATTTTGTAATGTAAGCGGAAGGAATTTATTGAATAAAAATGAAGTAATATGACAAAATCATTATCAATTTATCAGTGCCTCAACGTCAGCGCTCACACGTTCGCAATGTCAAATAAATTAATCTAAATAATCACTATCAATACTAATTAATTAAACCTGCGCAAATACGAAAATTAAAAAATATAAGTTACAAATTAAAATAAAACAGCGAAAGCGAAAATATCGCGAAGGGATGAAGGAAGTTTTAAGGTGTATATATGTAAGTACACGAAGGGAGACCGTGGTATATTGAGCTGTTTAAAGATTTCTAGCTCATATTTATAAAAAAAAAAAATTAGGACGATCTGGCATCCTGGCATCCTGGCATCCTGTGCCAAACTGACATATTACCAGTAACAACCTGGTGTAACAACCTCAAAATGATCTACAAAGGACTTACTGCAAATATCGAAAACAATCTGCATGCGAAATTATGGTGGAATTATATTAAATGTAAAATCAAGTTATCTTTTCTGGAGTCGAAGTTCTTTAACTGTAAATTAAGAAACCTAATACGGAACAGAGACCTTTTTCAGTTGTTTTCAAAGTTTACTTTTTATATTCATGAGAAAAATAAAGTGATGGAGGTGATACAAAAACTGTATGTGCTTTGCGAGAGAGAATAGAAAAAAGAGTGAGAAAAGAACAAACAAAACAAATGAGCGTTTATGTAAAAGACGTTGTTAGAAAAAATATTTGTGTATGTATTATTAAGCCATAAACGAAATGTTAAACCCTACACAAAATAAATAGTATTATTATTACCTCTATTTTGTTTTTTTTGCCAAGATTTAGAAGATTATTTTATTTTTTAAAATAAAAGAGGAGTTGTAAAATCATAGTTATAATTAAACTATGCAAAACTTTACGTTATTTTTAATTTGAATCTAACCATTTCAAATAACTATTAATAAGTAATTAATATAAATACTGAATTTTATGTAACTTTGTACAATTTTATTTATAGTATATAAAACACATTTTTAAATGTAAAATACAACGAACTTTCCAATATGAAAAATTGTGCTATCACTAAGTAATTTTCGTGCACATTCTTAACATATTTACTTTATCAATATCGGATAATTTTTCTTTTATTTGCAATATTCAATTACGTTATAATCACTGAATTTTAAGTTGACCTATAGAAACGAAATCTTTGAAAGTTGAAATAATTTTACCTTGATAAAAAAATAATTATTTTTTACATTTATATTTAAAAATGCGTGAAGTTATGCCATAAAATTTTGGAGCATAAAAATAAACCTAATCGACTTCAATTTCTGGTTTAAATAATATTTAAACACGATTCTTAAGAAAAAATTTTAAATTCAATCATATGAATACCCTCTTCCTTTAGTATCAACACTAAAAAGCTTCATCATAATTGGATTGGCAATGTTTTCGAGTGATTTCTGCTTATCATCATATTCATCCTTTTCTGCATATTGATTATTTTCAAGCCATACAATCGATTCTTGAATTGCAGCTTTAAGTAGATTAATAGGAAATTTCTCATCCTATTATTAATTAGGAATGACTTGAATTTAGAATGTCGATGTACAGTTAAATATTAAACAAAGCTTACTTCAAGTGTATTACGTAAGTTATATGCATAACTTTCCAATCCGTTTCGTGCCTGCTTTGTACTGGCAACTTTCTCATCATCTTCACGATATCTCTCGGCTTCATAAACTACACATATATTTTAGTTAGGTACAGGTATTGCATAGTTATATAGTTACAAAATAACATACCCATACGTTCGATTTCTTCCTTTGACAATCGACCTTTGTCATTTGTGATGGTTATCTTATTCGATCGTCCAGTTGTTTTATCAACAGCAGATACCTACAATTAATTAAAGTTAATACAATACCATAAAGTATGATAGTTGAATATTAAACACATACGTTTAAGATACCGTTTACATCAATAACAAAGGTGACTTCGATTTGTGGAACACCTCTTGGTGCTGGCGGAATTCCAGTTAATTCGAATTTTCCAAGAAAGTTGTTATCTTTAGTACGGGCACGATCACCTTCATAAACTTGAATCATTACTCCTGGTTGATTATCAGAAGATGTGGAGAAAATTTCTGATTTCATAGTAGGTATAGTTGTATTACGCTTTATAAGCGGCTTCATGACACCACCGGATGATTCAATACCAAGAGATAAAGCATTGACATCGAGTAAAAATAAATCTTGAGTTTTTTCAGAAGTATCACCAGATAAAATAGCAGCTTGAATGGCAGCACCATATGCCATTGATTCATCAGGATTAATGGATTTGTTTGGTTCTTTATTGTTGAAGAACTCAGATACCATCTTTTGAATCTTGGGAATACGTGTCGAACCACCGACCAGGACAATTTCATGAATTGAACTTTTGTCGATTTTAGAATCTCGTAGTACTTTTTCAACAGGTTCCATTGTAGATCGAAACAAGTCTTGATTCAAATCTTCAAACCTTGCACGCGTTAAAGAGGTATAGAAATCGATACCTTCGAATAGAGAATCTATTTCTATGGATGTTTGTGCTGATGATGAAAGTGTACGTTTTGCACGTTCACAAGCGATCCTTAATCGACAGAGAGCACGTGCATTCGTTGTAAGATCTTTTTTAAATTTGCGTTTGAATTCTTGTACGAAATGATTTACAAGTCGATTGTCAAAATCTTCTCCGCCAAGGTGTGTGTCACCAGCAACAGCTTTTACTTCTATAATCCCTTCTTCGATAGTTAGGAGAGAAACATCAAACGAACCACCACCTAAATCAAAGATAAGGACATTCCGCTCACCAGCAACTTTCTTATCAAAACCATATGCAATAGCTGCTAAAGTGGGTGCATGAATTATACGAAGTACATTTAAACCGGCAATTAATCCAGCATCTTTTACAGCTTGACGTTGGGAGTCATTAAAGTAAGTTGGTAATGAAATTACGGCATTATTAACTTTTGCACCAAGGTAAGCTTCTGCAGTTTCCTTCATCTTTACTAATATCATGGAAGAAATTTCTTCGGGTACGAAATCCTTATTTTCGCCTTTGAATTCTACTCTGATATATGGCTTTCCATTCTTATCGATGACTTTAAAAGGCCAGTGCTAATAAATTTAAAATTCTCTGTAAAATAAATGAGCTGTAGATCAAATTTGTTTTGTATATAATTTTTACCTTCATATCGGATTGCCATTCATGGTCGCTAAAATTACGGCCAATGAGACGATTAACGTTAAATACTGTATTATAAGGGTTCATGGCTAATTGATTTTTGGCAACATCACCGATAAGACGTTCTGTACCGGTGAAAGCGACATATGAAGGCGTTGTACGATTACCCTGGTCATTGGCAATAATTTCAACTCTGTCATTTTGCCAGACGCCGACACAGGAATATGACGTTCCCAAATCGATGCCAACTATCAAGTTTAAAATTTTTTTTATTTTTTTTAATGTACAAATTTTTTTTTTTTTTTTTTGCATACTTACTAGCCTTTCTTTCCCACATTTTTTTAAATAAAAAATGTTATGCTTTATTATAGTTTGCGCCCAATATCACTGAAAAAAATAAATTTTCTTAAACATTTAAATGAGAACACAAATAGTTTTATATACAAAACAAGAATACTTATTAAGAACTGAAGTCTAACCCCAAAAGGAAATTTAATTCTAATTGTCCGAAGCGTAAGCGGTGGACACTTCCGGCCTAACCGGTTAAAATATTTGTTAACCGGTTAAAAAACCGGTTAAAATTAATTTAGACCAGTACTATAAATTTTGGCTGGAGTTAGTCCGGAAATTGAATTTCGGCCAGAATTAAATTCATCTATTTCTACGTGTAAATGATGCAAAAAACAATTATTTATTTTTATAAATATATATTTTTTAATACTGTTTAATTTTTTGTAAATTTTTTTTTTTAAAATAAAAAAAAAAAAAAATTATAAGTTGATATTTCTTGTAAATACTTAAAAAAATTTAACGATTTTTTTTTATTAATGTATTGTGTAAATTGTATATGATAAATAAATTTTTTGTTAAATGAAATAAAATTAAAATAAAGAATAAATAAATGGAAATTTTTCCTTTAATAATCGTTAATTACAAATCATGACATTAACTTCAATAGTTGTGAATAAAGTCAATGTTCATGTAATAACAAAATAAATTACATGAAATAAAACATAATTTTTTAAAGGAATTCTTATCTTTAATTTTTGAAAGTTGCACTTATCGTTATAGCTTCGCACATTAATTAAATATTTTTATGGAAATCTGCTGCGCCATAAATCGTGAATTACCTGAGGTTATTCGCAAACGGTATATATTTGCAAGGTCCCTCATGTCTTCAAATCCTGATCAAATGCATAATTCTTCATCTTATAAATTAATGATCACCTAATTTGTCCAAAAAAAGTAAATTTAGAGATAACAATAATTACATTGAAATGTATTAATTCCTTTATCGCAACACTAATTTTGAACATTATATCATCAGACGTTAATAAATTTAGAATTCTAATATCTTATCGTTATAACAATTAAGGGGTTGAAGTCTATTGTAGTTTTATTGATATTCTCGAGATATCTAACCATAACTATAAATTTCATTCAAATACAAACTGATTGATATGTCCACATAATTTTTGAAGAATTGAATTTGCCAAAATAAAATGGTATATTATCCCGCAACTATAATATCAATGCAAGAAACTATGACTCAAGGTTCCATGTATTTTATTTCATTAACTTCACGATATACTTAGCATGATTTATAATTTTTTTTACTTTGAAAAAAATTAATTAAATTAATTATCATTTTTAGAAATATTATATATTCTAAACTTTGAGAGCTTTATGATTTCAAATATTTTCAGCTGTCCATAAACAAAAACAGGTTGTGTGCAGATAAACACCATATTTGGATGAGTGCTGGAAAGAGACCAAATCATCAAAAAATTATTTTTTTAAATAATGAGATTTCTGGATTAGATGAGATGATCAGATTTAATGAACAATTTTTTAAAGAAATTTGGTCCCTTTTTTTAGCACACATCACTATTGGATCAATGTTTGACCTTGTGATTTATTTATTATCATTAAAAAGGCAACACAAACAGGAAATTTGCAGACATTTTAAAACAAATAGTAGGTTATTCTCTGAAGAACTTATATAATTTGAGATATATAAATATGTTTGCCAATATGAGGTCATGTAATAATTTCTGCATCATTCACCTTACTCTAAAGGTTATAAACAATTAATCTAGTATTATTGCAGAACTCTTTTGATAGATTTAAGTTTGTAGAAGTATAATTGGTATTCTTACTTTCAACTTTAATTCACCAAGAGGGAGATCCAATCTATTTTATATTACAAAAATTTTTATCAGATTATCATATTATAGTAATATATTATTATTATTACAAAAAATATTTTTTATTTACATGATTATCACTAAAAAAGTTACTATTACTATAAATCTTAGCAAAACTTCAATTTTCAGGAATAAAAATATATTTTGCATATATATTATATTATGAACTATTATTACAAAATAAATCTTTTTAAATATAATCAATAGTTATCTCTAAAAATTGTTAATTAACTACTGCTTAATTTAATTAGCAAAATATCAGTTACTAGGAACACAAAAATTTCTTAATTTTTTTATACATTAGTAAACATGATCAAATCTAATATTAGATTAGATTTAGAATTATAGATGATCAAGTATTGAAAAATTATTTTTAAAATTTAAATAATTCTTATATTTATTAAATTCCATTATTTTTCTTTTATTAGTAAAAAATTCTGTAAAAAAAATAATTATATAACATTTTCACATGGTACAAAATACTTTTACATTTTAATTTATTTTTATATTATTATAATATCATATTTATTACTTTTAAAAATATATAAATTTTAATAATTTAATAAAATTATCATCTGATTTTTTAATAAAAATAATATTAAAATTAAGTCAGAAATAAAAATATTGATTAATGTTACATTGTAACTGCTACTACTTTTTGTAACTTTATTTCAAATTCATTTGAGACATCCAATTATTGATATTCTTTACAACTTCTAAAAGAATCATTTCTAATGAGCAAAACCTTTAATTAGAAATGCTAATAGAATATTATAATACAATTCTTTAATTATCTATTAATTTCTATACTTATAAACTAAATTAAACCTTCTAATACTAATAAATCTAAGATTAATTTCTAAAAAAAAGATCAAAAAAGATAAATGACTTTTTTAAATTTCTAGCTTAGTTGTCTGATTAATTTCAGGTTATAATAACCTTTTAATAAGAGTGTTCATATTACTAAGTTCTAAAAGATTTTTTGCTAGAGTCAGCAGATTATGTAATATTTAGAGATCATGTAAAAGAATGTATTTGTTTAAAAAGATAAATTAAAAAGTTATTATATAAGATTGTTTATATCTAAAGTTATATCAATTTCAATCATTATTTTAAATACTTACTGATAATAACATTTTGTAAGCAAAAAGAAAATAAGAAATAAGAAAAACAGATGAGAGAAGTGACAAAAAAATATTTTAACAGAAAACACTACTGTTTTGACTAATAAAGACTGTTTTTTGAAAGAAAAGGATTGGAAAAATAAGAGAGAAAAAAGTTAAAAAGTGAATTTTATTTTTTGTTTGCAGACTAAACCTTGATTATCCTTGAATATATACATTTTTATGTAAAAATTCTTGAAACATTTAAATTATGTAAAAGCTTATTATATCTTTGTCTAGACATTAAGAAATGCTATGTAGAAGTTAAAAATTAATGCAATAGTATAAGAGTTACTCAATTTAGCAAGATTGTTATTTAAAGATACAGGTTTAATACTCATTAAGGAATCAGGTAAATTTGGTAAGCTATTTATTTTAGTCTGACGACAATCGAGTATTGTTAAGGAGTTGGGTAAAATTGGTAAACTATTTATCTTAGTGCTATAACAACAGAGTACTGTTAAGGAGTTGGGTAAGGTTGGTAAGATAATTATTGCAGTATCATTGCAATAAAGTTCCGTTAAGGAGTTGGGTAAAGTTGGTAGGATAGTAATTTTAGCGTCAAGGAGTTCGGTAATGCTGATAGGATAGTTATTGGAGTATTATAACAATAAAGTTCCGTTAAGGAATTGGGTAAAGTTGGTAGGACAGTTATTGGAGTAAAATAACACCTGAGAATTATTAAAGAATTGGGTAAGTTTGGTAAGCTGGCTGGTTATCCGAGTATTATTACAGTCGAGTACTTTTAATTTCCGATATCTTTGCAATCCTCCCTAAGGCATTAAATATGTCATCCTTATTAAATTCCGTAATCGTTAAACTTTCAATAGTATCATCATAAATAATATCTGATACTTCAATAGTTGACTCTAATTCTTCTACATTCATCAGAATAAAATTTTGAATCATTCGAGATAACTCCCCATGTAATGAATTATTATTACTAGAATTAAGTGGATCTGATAATTGAAGGTTTGATGCTTTATTATTCATTTGATCATTCTCTATTATGGTTTCTTTTGTAATAATTCCAATTGATTTATCAACTACTTTATTCATAGTCGGACGATTGTCCGGTTCGTTGTCCCAGCACTCTAAAATCAAATAACAATTTTATGATCGAAAACATTTTTATTAAATTCAAATTTATCATAATAATATATATACCTGAATAAATGTTAACATAATCTTTAGGTGTACCAGGAATGATACTTTCTCTGAGTCCCTGTGAAATTTTTATAGCTAAATCAATATCGTATGGTTTATCTTCAACATAAAAAGGAGGACGTCCACTTGATATCTCCCAAAACAGCACGCCAACACTGTAAACGTCACTTTTCTCGGTTAGCGAATCTTGTTGCGATGTATTTCCACTTCCTTTTCGACTACCAAATCTTATTGGATCAACATAAGGAATTACACCAAAGATTTTTGACT